GGTGGAACTGGGCTCAGCCCAGCCAGTCTGGCTCTGCAATGTCACCTTTGTAGAACATGTATATAACTTGGGAAGAAATAAACACATATTAGAGGTGCTAAGTCAATTTTTTTTTTGCTGAATAATTTGGAGACTATTCTTCAGGCCTTTATCCCAGTGGGCTCACCAGGAAAGCCACCACAGATATCTGTGTCCTTATTCTACATATCTGGCCATCTCTAGACCCTTCACATCTGTTCTCTGCTACGTCTGCTCTGGAGGCATTCTCTGCAACATGAGTCACCTAAAACAAAAGGTATTTCTAGAGCTTTGCTTTCCTTTGATCATACATCTTACTTGTTCTGGTAATAATTAGAATTTTAATGAGAAGGGGGTGTAGGGGGAATCCAGAGAGCATAGAGTGCATTTAAATGTTCAGCCTGACAAAAAAAAAAAAAAAAAAACTGAATTCATAAATGAATAGAGAGGTGGGGGAAGGGGTGGGCCAGGAGAATCAGTTTTTCCTCAGCGTGGTTGCTATTTAGTTTGCTTCTCCACGTGACCCCCAGCTGTTGTTCCCTTGGAGCTGTGATCAGGGAAGACAGAAGGTAAGGATTATTGGGAATCAGCACCCAGCACTCAAGACTGGTTACAGAAAACCAGGAGACCCTTCCCATGCCTGCGGAATCTTCTTCCAGGACCAGGAAAGCCTGGGCTTTTGACATCTCACTGGCAGGCAATGAAAAGGGAATTAAGTCCTGAACACTGAGTAGGTTCATCCTCATAGAGGATGCAAGGTGGTGAGTAAGGCTGGCAAGAGCAGAAACAGGCTGGGGGGAGGAGGTGAATGTAGAGGATTTAGCCTCTTTATTTAGTTTTTTATCCTTTTATTGTTTTTTAGACCCAGTCTCGCTCTGTTGTCTGTCTAAAGTGTTGTGGCGTCAGCCTAGCTCACAGCAACCTCAAACTCCTGGGCTCAAGCAATCCTCCTGCCTCAGTCTCCCGAGTAGCTGGGACTACAGGTATACACCACCACACCTAGCTAATTTTTTCTATTTTTTTTTTTTTTTAGTAGAGACGGGGGTCTTACTCTTGCCCAGGCTGGTCTCGAACTCCTGAGCTCAAGCTATCCTCCCACCTTGGCCTCCTTGAATGCTAGGATTACACTCATGAGCCACCACACCTGGCCCTTATCCCCTTTAAAATCACTATATGTGGCCTTGAATTCAGGTAGCCCTCATCCCCTGGTTAAAGGTACAGTAAGGTTAGGAAGGGATGTAGGCTCCTGTAATAGCCGAAGGGGTGGCAAAGGCCCAGATGACCTAAGACATGTGACTATTCTGGGCTGGCTGAGGCCAGCTCACTGGGACATGTTACCTCCTAGGAAATCATTAGTGCACAAAGAGCCTTCAGAACCCATTTCCCACTCACATCTTGTTCGAATCTTGACCCTGTGAGGCAGACAGAACTCTGATGTGCAACTCTGCCGCCTTTCTGAGCACTGATGCAGTGTTCTTCCTCTGTATACCATGCATTAGCTTCAGGACACGAGAGGGAAGCCTCTAGCGAGGGAGAAAGTGCTTAGTACAACACTGAGAAAGAGAAAGTACTTTCTCAGTATCTGCATTCTTCTTCCCTCTCTTCCTCCTTTATTTCCCCTTCCGCCTAGAGAGAAAGAAACATTGCTCTGGAATCAGACTGGGCTCATGCAATGTCTACCTCCACTGGTTTTAAACTGTGTGACTTTGGCAAACTGTGTAACATTTCTCAGCCTCAGTTTCCTCCTCTATAAAATGGGAGTAATAGTGCTATCTACTTCATAAGGTCATTGTGAGGTTTAAAGGAGACCAAAAGTATATCAAAAGTGCTGGGAATAAGGCCTAGAATGTAATAAGAAATATAATAAATATTAGCTATTTTTAATAGCTATGCCCAGTCTAGTTTTGAATATCCCTTAGTTTCGAAATGTGTTTAATGGGCAGAATACCTGCAAACCATGAACACTAATAAGTAGAGATAGATTTAACCTTATCATCATAAACCAAGAAACAATATTACTAACAGAAATAATAACTACTTCATACATAAATAATATAACTCTCTTTATCTCTAGACATAATATATACTATATTAAAGATCAAATATCTCCAAGTTTTTCTATTAATATTCATTTGCTTGCTACTTTCCCAGCTGTTTTGTTGTTACTATCGGCTGGTGAATAGTAATGAATTCCAAAGGAGTAAGAAGATGATCACAGAAGAAAAATCAATTGAGAATATCCCATGCTCCTGTAAAGTTTTCTTGGAAATTGGAGAAAAGAAATCCGTTACTCAATATTCGTTATTAAACATCTTCATGCAGGTATCAGAGGGGCTCCGGTAGCCCATGGGCACCTGGTCTGGGAAACGTGGCAGCCCAATTATCCAACAGCCTCTGGCAGAGAAAAAAGCTGTGGAACCAGGCTTTGGAAACATGTGCAGTGACATGGCCTCATGCCGGGACACATGGCTTCTGGGCCTGGCTGGGAAACTGGACTTTGCCAGGTGCTCAGACACAGCTGGGCAGCTCAGGTGGGCACCAGGACCAGGATGACCACAGAGCACACGCCCTCTACACTGCTCTCTAGTTGTGTGACCTTGAGCAAGTTATCTGACCTCTCCAAATCTTGGTTTCCTCTTTCACGTAGTGAGGATTCTAGTTACCCCACCTCACAGAACATCACTGTGAATATTAAATAAGCTAAGGTTTTGAGCACAGTCCTGGGTACATGGTGAATGCCTCCCCAAATGTAAGCTGCTAGTATTCTTCATGTTTCGATTTTTGGAGGATAACAGTTTATGGTGTACAAAACAGACCTAGCTTCGTCTGTCTCCGAGAAGCGAGATCTCCACAGCAGGGAAGTGAGACGGCCGATGAGAGGGCAAAGCATCTATGGGAAGTCAGCTCCTCTTCTCTCCTGGGAGGTTAAGAGCCCCTGAAGGCCATCAGGGCAGGACCTGCCTGTCACCTTAAATGAGACTTAAATGGCCAAGGTAATGACCCATGTTCTCCCTTCTCTTCCAGACAGTGCTGGGGTATTCATTAGCAGCCCAGGGCTTTCTTATCCCACCACTGACACTTCTTTCTCCACAGACAGCCCCGACACCCCCTCCCCTCCCCTCGTCTCCACCCCTAGCGTTAGAATTCATCAGCAGTTCTCATCACTTGCTATTGTTCCCATTTTTCTAATGGGCTCCCACGTCAGGAAAATCCATTTTGTAACAGTAACAGGCATTCTCGCTAACAGATTGTAATTGAAAAGATAAACTAGGGAGATGAGGCAAAAAGAAAGGACCATTTTCCCTCCACGCCCTAAAGCCAGAGCAGGCTGGCTCCAGGGCCTGGCGTTGCTGGTGGACCCTCAGAAACGTCCAGGGCTCAGGCTGTGGGCAGCAGGAGCTGCCTCGGCCAAGGACACAAACACAGACGGAGACATAGACAAAGCACAGCCCGGAGACCGGAGAGCAAGTGACGCAGAGGCTCAAGAGCCTGGGAGAACAGAGTTTAGCCTGGGAAGGGAAGAGACTCTGGGCAGAACCATTAATATTAATACTAATAATATCACTTGTTATGTATTTCTACATGGTAAGCACTATGTCCTTTACGTGATCTAATTTAACCTTTACAGCCTTTCTAAGACATTGGGATTCACCTCCGAAATATAAATCAACTAATGTAGAGATGTTAACTGAGTGAGTTGTTTGAGGGCACAGTGCATTAAGCGGAAGAGCTGAGATTCGAACCTAGGATTTAGTGAGGCCAAACGCTGGGCTCTTGAACTAGGCATCTGAGGAGACTGAAGTTTGAGCTGTAGAGCCCCAGGCTGGACAGAGAAGCTGGGGAGGCATCTTGCACTCTTTGGCCTGACTGGGATTATGAGTGGCCTCCTCACGATGCCCACCCCGTCTCTCTCCTTCTCTAGAAAGTAGACACTGTGGGCTGCCCACCAGCCAGCAGGCAGCCAACCAGCGGCCTCGGGAAAGTCCGGTGCAGAGATAGATGTGCCTGAGGAATACCTGAGTGTGTGAATGTGTGTCGAGAGAACAGGGCTATTGTGTACTGAGGCTCACAGACGAGGTCCATTAATAATAAGCCCTGCTGGGGCTTGTAAGTTTATTAGGAGAACCCGGTGTAATTAAAATTCAGGGTTGGGGGAGGGGAGCAGAGGGCCTCTGCTTCCTTTCCTTCTTTCAGAGATCCAGGCTGAGCTACCGATGGGGATAATTAGCAGTGTCCAAACAGAAGGAATTAATGCTCCTGAAAAAGCTGTGATGAGGAGAGACAATGCTGAGCTAATTAGGGCCGCACCAAGCTTTATGACTGGGTGCCCGCTTCCACCATTATTAGGGGATTCAGAGATAAATCGGAGACTAATGTGGAGTGTTACAGCTAACAGAGCGTTGGCACTAATTTAGCAATTATTAATATTATTATTTTGGCAGATGGCAACTGTACCTTTCTGCCTGATGGGTCAGGGTGTGTGGCACCCTCCACATGGGGGATCAAGGCTGGAGTGACGGAGGGGAGGGGCAGAGAGAAAGCCAGAAATTCTCTTCCCTCTGCTCCTCTCCCTGTTTATATCTGCAGTTAGTGAGAGGAGAGGTCTGGATGGGTCCTCGGGGAGCAAGAAAAAGAGTTCAGCACCCCTAAAAGAGAGATGGGAGGGTTGGGGCAGTGCCATCATTATCTCCCCTGTTTGCTTCTACTTTCAAAGGCCCCTCTGATTTCAGTTCCTAAGTGTGGCCCAGTCCTTAGAGGCTTCTTTTCCTAAGCAAGGCTAGCAGGGTGCTGCCTAGCTGAGTCGGGACTCGTTCTTACCATGCTTTCCCCCACTGTAGACAGCCCTACACAGACCCTAAAGAAACGTGGCTTGATCCAGATGGCTTAGTGCCAGTCCTAATTATTTGCAGCCACATGTTATACCCCCAATTCTGTGGACAGGGAAGACAAAGTAAAGTTAGAACAATTAGAAGAGAACACACCTTTAGTACAAAGCTTGGTGCTATGGCGCATACTGAAACTACCATCCCCACTCGAGGTTCCCACAGTCAGAGAGAACTTCTAGAACTACAAATTTAGAGGACTTCTAGAACCATAAGTCTATGGGCTGTACAACTCCTAGATACTAGACTTTGCTTCTAGAATTCTAAAGCTCAAAACACACTAGAGTCCTTTCCATGGGTTCTAAAGGATCATGTATGGCACCTTTCCTCAAAACAGGAAAAATATGCAGAATTCCTTCCTTCCATTGAGAAAGAGTAAGGGAGTGGCTGATTATTCAGTTCTAAAAACAGGACTTTGTGTTTTAATGAAATGTTGTGCATTTCATTTGTCATCACAAGCAGGAAAAAAATTCTGTGTTGCCAAAGGCCACTTCAAAGCCAGGTGGCTGAATCACAAAACATCTCCAGGGTCAGTAGCAAAGTGAGCAAACATCACATACATCTCATGGCCACAGGTGAGCTGGAGAATAACCACTCCTGGCTGCCAGCCTGGGAGGGGGAGAGCGGCTCGGGAGCTTTTGTCAGGCCTGCATTTTCTGGAACACTTCTGGACCTCTGCTTACTACCTTAAGTCCAGAATCCATGCTAACCATACCTAACCCTCTGGAATTTGGCCTATGGAAAAAGTTCATTCACCTCCACAAGGCAAATGACACAAGGAGAACTGCCTGTTAGGGTACACTTGGGGTGTATTAAGGAGGAAAGCAGACCCTGTGGCTTTAAAGAAAAAGAGGAACTTGCTTGTAGTTGGGACACTTTGTGTACAGGTGTTTCCAAGTCAGGGTCTGATTAACTGAGATTTCCATGCAATTCCTAGCACAGACCCTGGCATATGGGAGGCTCTTGGTAAATGACAGTGGAGTCTGAATCTCAATTGTGGAATCTCAGGGTGTTACTAGAAATCTATAACAGGAGGAAGGCAGGGAAAACAAAACATGGTAAAGGGAGCTGGAAATGCTCTAGCAGCCACTTGCATTTTTCATGAAACTGCAAATGAAAAGCTTCAGTATAACTCTGGCCAGAGAATCTGGACTCAGGCAGTAGCTCTGGGATGCAGAGAATAGGCTGGAAGATGGGTCACCGAGGAGCTTTGTCCTGAGCTCCACAGCATCTCCCCAGACCTCGTGGTCATCTCAATCCTCAAGATCCCAAAACCACTCTTTCTTTTTCTATGATCAAGGGCCTCCTTCTGTCTCCCCTATCCCTTTTAGCCTCCCAGTGTGGCCCCTGGGCTTCCCGGGGCTTGTGACTCAGCAGCCAAAGTTAAAGTTTTCCAGGGCTGACAACTCGGCCTCGCCTTCTGAGGCAGCCTGCAGGGGAAGGCACACTGATTCATCCCAACCTGCTGACTCTCACCCCTCAGGCCTCCCTCTCCCTCAACCTGGCCATGTAGGCACCTGTCATTCCAGACTACAGGGCATCCCTCTGGAGCCAGAACACCAGTGCCTCCTCCTATCAGGATGTGCTACACACATGCACCCCCACTCCCCAGCAACCCTCACCCCAACCCCCAGCATTTCTACCTTGGACAGACAGAAGGTGCAGCTTCCATCCCAGGTGGAACTCGACAGGTGTGCTCTCACCGTCTGGCTCTGAGGGGTCAGGACCTGCTTAAAGGCCCCACTGGAGATGGATCATTGGCGGAAAAGATGGAAAGGAACTGGGGAGTAGGGAGAGGCAGGAAAAGACTGCCTGACTTGGGGGAAATTCCGTGTCTGGTGGTGTAGGAGGTAGGGCACCAGAGAACTGAAGTCTAATATTACTTGCTGGGCCTAATCTGTTCTGAGAATCTCCAAGAGGGAGAATCAGCCTCCCCAATCTCCATCACTGTACCACCCTCCAAAAGTTCTTCTTTATCTAACCTTAGTCCCTTCTGCTGCAGTAATCAACCCATTGATTAAATATTTCCAGGACCACAGAGACAGCAGCGCCCCCTACGACCCTTACAGGGCTGAGGTGGGGGCTTCACTAACCCCGAGGCTGGACACAGCGCTCTCCTCAAATACACAGCCTCCCCTTGGCCCACTACCCCTCCCCCAAACAGCTCTCGGGGAGCTCACCAGAAATCTACCTCTATGTGACCCTTAACCTCAAGTGAAAACAAGGCCCTGGAACCTGCGGCCGCTGGGGATCTTGCCCCACCTGTACCTGCTCCCGGAATCCCTGCTCCTGTGCCTGGCTTCTTGTGTCTGGAGAAGCGTGTGGGGACCAAATGTCTGCCTCTCCCGGCCCCCTCCTCCCTTTCCCGCGCCAGCGGTGCGGAGACACGGGGCAACTCCCGCGTACCCCTAGGCCCAGCACTACCGGGGTTGGGGGGACAAGGGCGGGTGGAGTCTGCTGAGCCTCAAGGTATCCCGGCGCCTTGGTCCCTGCAGGATCTCCCCACCCCCATTCCGCATTTTCTCCAGGCCTCGAACTCCCCCAGCTGCTGCCCCAGGGAGAGGACGCGACCCGATACTCCCTCCCGCCTAGGACCCTCCAGACGTTGGGACAAAGAAGCCCCACTGCAGCCGGCAAGCGTGGCCGCAGGCACTGGTGCAGCAGGTAAATACCCGGCGGCTGGCCACCACGCTGCCGACCCTCCCGCAGCTCCCGCCGCCAGGGCGCGACTCGCCATTCCCGCTGTCGCGACTCTCGGGAGGCGCCGCCGCTGCGCGCCGGGCCGGGGCCCCGCGGGGCGCGGGCTCGGGACTCACCCACTCTGGCGAGCTCGACTCGGCTCGGCGGCCGCCCCGGGCCGCGTCCGACGCAGGGGCCGCGCGGCGCGGGCGGGAGGCGCCCTCTTGGCAAAGTCGGCGAGAGGCACCGGCTCAGTAGCGCACCGGGCGCGAGTCCGAGTCCGAGAGAGACCGAGGCGAGTTATAGGGGCGCGGGAGGTTGTGGGGGGAGGACGCAGCGACACCCTCCCCCACCCCGCCCCCTGTCCCCCGCCCCCCAGCGGAGACGCAGAAAGCCACTCGCAGCCCGAGAGACACCCGGACACAAAGACCTCGTGCCAGCTGCAGACCCAAGTTTCTTCCCGAGAGACCCGGGGAGCTTGGCCCGCTTTCACCGAGAGAACGGACCGGCGGACAGACAGACCGACTGATGGACCCTGGGACCTAGACACTCCCTAGGAGACCGGCTTTCTTCCTCGGCCGGGTGTCCCTCGTCTCCCGCTTTATCGCGGACCCCTCTCCTGGCAGATCGCCCGCGGGGCGAGCCAGAGCCGCGAGGGAAACTGAAGCTCGGAGGGTGCCGCGTCCCGGAGCCAGGCTTTGGGCTGGGCCCCCCGCAGCAGTCACAGGGGAGGGGATGGGGGCTCTTTCCATCCCCTGTCCCCTCGGACCTCTCCTTGCTCTGTGGGCGAAGGGCCAGGGGACTGGCTGAGGCTGGCTCCCAATCCAGAATCCCGAGCTGGAGTTCTCTCTGTAGGTTCCGGGGCTCCTGGGACCGGCGCTTTGGGGAGGGGGCACCGCTAGGACGAGAATCCAGGAAGGGAGGGGGCCCTGGGTCTCGCTTACCTGCTTCGGCCGCGCTGGGACTCCGCTCGGGGGGCTGCTGCTCGAAGCTCCGACAAGTCTCCACGTCCAGCCCGAGAGGGGGTGGCCGGCCCCGGCACAGCGAGGCAAGGACCGCGAGCGCCGCCTGGCACCGAGGCCCCCCGTCCCCCCACACCCCGCTCATGCCCCAGACACCCGGGTCTGCGGAGCAGCCGCTCGAACCCGCACCGCGGCGGGGCTGGGGCGGGGCAAGGCGGCCCCAAGAAGACCCTCCCCGCAGCGGCCCCCTGCGGCTCCGCTCTGCTTTTAATCACTTCCCCGCAGGGTCCCCGCCCCTCACGTGGCATCCCGCGGCAGCTGGCAAGTCTGGCGCCTCACGGCCGCCCCCTCTACACTCGACTGGCCTGGGTCCGGGCGGGTTCGAGGCGGGGGAGCCCGGCCGTCCCGAAACTTGGAGGGTGCAAGGCCGGGTTCCTGCTCTGCGTGCACTGCCTGGTGTGTGTGACCTTGGGCCTCTCTGAGCCTCAGTTTTCCTCTCCGTAAAATAAGTATAATAATTTCGAGAGCTTCGCGGGTTCCCTGGGGATATAAAGGTACTGTTTGTGAAAACACTGGGTAAACTGCCACATGCCACACAAGTGGCAGCGAAATAGATAACCCCATAACAGAAAGAGGGATGACTAGGCTGGGGGTGGGAGGACCTTCGCCAAGGTCCCTGATGGGAGAAGTTAGTCACACATGCCCTAAGTCCCACCTTGGGAGGTAGAAGACCCCAAGACAACCGGGCGATGCGAACTGCAAGAAGACTTTCTGAGCCCCGCAATCCTGCGGTCCGCGGTCCCACACGTTGCTATGGCGACGGGAGGCAGCGGCCGTCTCTCTCCATGGCAACGGGAGGGGAAAGTTTCTGGCAACAGGAATGGGGGGGCATTTCAAGAGGGCTCCCGGTTGCCGCCGACCCACCTCCCCGCTTCGGTGCGGTACCACCAGACATAACGTGTCTTTCTATCAAGCATTAACAAGGGCCAGAAAGGCAGAAAACTAAACGGGAGGATTGAGGCTAGACTTAAAGTAGGGCTTGGCTCAGAAAATGTGGAGTGAGGCCCACGAGCATATTGGATGAGGGGTGTCGAGGTGCCTCACTTAGCCCTGGAAATCTATGGGCTATCCTCGGGAAGGCCAGGGAACCTGGGCCCTGCAGGGACCCAGGAATCTCCTGTTCTCCACCTGTCAGCGGTGGGGCTCCTTCGGTGGGGGGCTCACCTGAGCTACAGGCTCAGCTCCCTTTGCTTTCCTGGACCTGGGAAGGAAATTTTCTCTGGAGCCTCCAGAAACCGCAGGACTGGTGTCTGCCGGAGTGGCTGGTGGGGGAGGAGGGTCTTTCCTCCTAATTAACACGTTAATTAGAAATGGCTCGGGCAGTGACTCACTTTCCGGAGGGAGGAGATTCGGAGCCCCAGCTCCTGGCGGTCTCCACTGCGTGCCATCTGCTCCAGCCGCACCAGCCGGCCCCTGGACTTGAGATCTCTGGGCAGCCAGTGCCCTGGGCACCAAGGGCCAAGCCAAGGCCTGCAAGAACCCTGGCCTAGCCAGGCGGGTTTTCTGCCCCACACGCGCCTTGGCTCTGTCCACGGTGCTGAAGGCACAGTTGGTGCTACAATCCAGTGGGCACAGGGGTGGGGGCGTGGGGGAGGGGACAATTGAGGCAGGTTCGGGGCAAGTTAGCAGCTTCCACCCTTACCCATGGAGCCTGCAACTGGAGCAGGCTAGGAACTCAGGCGGGAGGGACGGAGCAGGCAACACTATACAATCCGGGCTGCCTTCCTGTGGGAGGTGTTCGGTTCCTGTTCCAAAAACAAGTGAGGCTCTGGCGTCCCCATTCGCCCTCCTGGTGCTTCTGAAAACCCACCTGAGGAGCTCAGAGCCCCCATCACCTCCTGTACTACCGATGCAGACCTCAGCACCTGGGAGACACAGGAGCTTGGAGGCCCCCCACTAGATGCTCATTAGCAGTTTCCAGAGCCACGGGTTTGTGTTTATGTAAAATACAAATAGAGAAGGACTGCTCTCTGCCCGTGTTTATGGCAACTCTGTCACTCCGCGGTGATTTCTCCCTCCCCTTCTCGAGTTCCTGGGGAAATTCGCAGAACAAAGCGCCTTGTTTTGCCTTTGCAGAGAGTGAAAAAACACAAGACTGTTCCAAGGGCCTAGCCTGTGATGCAGAGAAATCAATATTTTGCTTACATCGAGTGGGGGAATTTGCATCTAAACTGAAGGCAAAGGAGCCTGTTCTGAGCAAAGCAGGTGGCAGAAGCCGAGAATTAACAGATAATTTCTCATTGTTCCCAGATTCAGCCTCCACACTCGGCAGGCGGTTCTGCAGCGTCTCTGAGCCCGGCAGCAACTCCGGACCTGGCATTTCTCAACCTAGCAGTGTGAGGGAGGTTCTCCCCTCAGGAAGTGCAGGAAGGGGCTAGGGCGCCCGAGTGAGCCAGTAACTGTTGAATTTGGAGTGTGGGAGTGAGGATGTGTGAGAGACACAGAGAGAAAGAAATAGAGAGAGACACAGAGAGAGACAAGAGACAAAGATAGATACAGACACAGAGGCATAAGATGAGACAGAGATACATAAAGAGAGTTGCAGGGGATACAGAGACACAGAGACAGGTGCACATATAAATGGACAAATGGACACACATTCAGAAAAAGACATTTAAAAAGTATTTTTTTAACACTAAGATAAAGCCTCCCCCTAGTTGTCCTCTGCATGCTCCCCTGCCCCTAGGTCAATGGCTGATACCATTGTGGTCACACAACTAGCCACAAAGTAGGAAAAAAAATTCCCCAAAGATGGAAACTTCTCCTCTCCAAAACCCCTTTCCTTCACAAGCCCAACCCCAAAACACAACTATGCTTCTTCCCATATGAAGAGACCAAATCCGGTCTCCCAGGGTCCCACCCAGACATGAGAAGAAGGAGCCATGGTTCTGCTCAAACCTAGGGAGGGAAGGAGATGGAAAGAAGTGGAACTGCTGTCCCTCAACCTTGTCTTTCAGAGAAAGACCATTCTGAGTTTGGGTTTAGGCGTGGGGAGGAGTGAAGGAGGAGAATAGGCAGTCAGCATGTCATGGTGGCAGACAGGGCATTGGGCAGGGCTCCAGGAGCCTGGGTCCCACAACTGTGCACCAAACCAGCCCCTATCTGGTGCTCACTGTTGGATTAGGAGCTCACTGAGACTCCTTCCAATAGCGACACTCTGGGATTTCACATGAAAGGAAAGGAGGAGCCTGGAGGTGAGGAGGAGGGAGGCGACTAAAGAGCAGCCCTTCCTGGCTGTGATGAAGGGGGTGGTTTTACAGATGTCCAACTCACTTTGGGCTTCCCCTCCCCCACTGCCCCCATCTCATCTACAGCCATGTCTGGAGCATCCTGAATCTGCACACCCTGGCCACTCCCCCACACCTCCACCCCCAGCCAGACTGCTCGGAAGCAGGGAGAGGGGCTGGGGGTGGGTGGGAGGCAGAATAAGAGGAGGTTTGAGGCAGAAACCAGAGGCCTCCCACTCTTATGCCCTCCTTTCCTCAGAAATAACCAAAGTGCCCGTCCCCTGCCCCCACCCCAAGTCTCTGCCCTTGAGCAGGCTCCCACCCTGTTCTGAACAGCAATGTCCTGTTCATTTATGCTACAAATAAAATGAATTAAAATCAAACAATACTTTTTTTTAAAAATTGAACCTTGGTAGGAAATTGCTAATGCTGTAGGCGGGAAGAATGAGTTCCTTTGACATAAGCCGATGTGTCATATTGTCTTTCCATCTCAATGCAATTTCTAAATAGGGAGCCCTTTCCCCATTCCCTCCTCCCTGCCAAGCCCCCAGCACAAATGTAAAGGGAGCAGTCTGACGATCATAGCTGGATTGTCTGACATGCAGGGAGAGACACAGAGAAATAGACACAAGTGGAGCCACTGCTTTACCAAGTGGACAGAAGCCAGAGGGGCTCTGACCCAACCTTGAGAGTCCCTGGTCTTATCTTTCCACCTCCTCTACTTACTGAGGCATGTGGCCACTTTCTGCAAAGGTGTTAAATTTACTCTAAGAAAAAGACATCAGTTGAACCTGGTCTACTATTGGTGGAGAATTAAGTTGATGTCCTATATTTGGTGACTTTCTATCATGATTTGGAAAAAATTTTGCCAAGGATTCCCTATGGGGTTTCAGCCAGAACAGGTTTATCAGTATTTCCAGCAGATTTCACCCTCTACCCCCTATACCTCCTACCACCATAGCAACCCTAGCCAAAGCCAAGTGACTTCTGCAAACGCATCATTCTAAGCCATCATCAGAGTTTTCAGGGATTTCTCCTTGTCTGAGAAGATGCAGAAGACATTTCAGAGCCCCAATTCAATGCCCAGGTGATTTTTCAAAGAGTCTAGTCTTGCTTTTATTCCAGGAAAGATGCTCGGCAGTTCAAATATCCTGAACGAAGGGCGTATTTGTCTCTCTCCCATTCCTCCCCCATTTCAGGGTTCTCATCTCTGTTCTGTGCTCTCTGCTCAAGCATACACTGTTCCAGATCAGACTTGGGAAGATTGGACAAGGTTTACTGCTTCCAGCCTGGCTTTGTGGGCAAAATCAGGCTGGAGTCTGGGTCAGAAGGCAGCGTCACCCCTGAACAGTTTTAGAGCCAGACCTAACCATGGTGGGGCCAGGGCTTTCTCTGCACTATTGAGGAGTGAACATGATGTTGGAGGGGAAGGGGTAGGAAGGAAGCCAAGTCCTCCTGTTCTCACTGACCTCGTGTAGAAGAAAGAACACAGGTTTTGGAGTCAGAACTCTGTTCAAATCCTGGGTCTGTCATTTACAGGATGTATTGCTTTAGGTGCTGCACTTTAGCTCTTAGGAAATGGGACATATAAGGCCTGCTTCACAGCATGCAAGGCAAGGATTACATGACTCGGGTTAAACGCTGAATATATTGTGACTGATCCATGGCAGGTGTTAAACAAATGACAGCTCCTATCCACTTTCTTCCTTTTCTCAGACCATAGAGGGACATTTAGGAGGCACACTGTCCAGATGTTAACCCATACTCTTCCATGGGGCAAGTCCCTGAAAATTGCCAAGAAGGAATTTAACTCTTATAACAACACTGAGAGGCAGAATGGGTGGATGCTAACAGTCCATCTGGCAGATGAGGAAATTAAGTGACTGGTCCCTGGCCACACAAGCTAGGAGGTAGCAAATAAGTGGAATTCAGGCCTCCTGACACCAGATCAGTGTACCTTCCTTCTTCACCATGCTGGTGGAAGATGGTGGGGATAGGAATAATTTTTCTTCTTTTCTTAAAAAAGTTTGAAATCTTTTAAAATTGGCTTTACAATAAATAAAAAATATTTGGGAGTAAATTATAAAGCAGTGAATGATTTATTCCTGGGCCTCTTTGCACAGTGCTTGGCTTTCTGACATTACCCATTCCAACTGCCTCTCAGACCCAGTTGCTGGTCTAGAGGAAAGATAGTGTCATTGATAAAACACAGGGCTGGGACAGACAGCTTCATGGCTCAGGACATGCTTGGTTGTTTCACTCTTTTTTAAAAAATTTATATTTTAATTTCAGAATATTACAGGGGTACAGACACTTTGGTTACATACATTGCCTTTGCACTGCTGAGTCAGAGCTACAAGCGTGCCCATCCTCCAGACAGTGCATACCAGAGGGCAGCTTGGGGAGTCTCTGTTGCATCTGGATCATGTCCTGTGGTCAGAGCTCTGCTTCCAGGAAAGAGCCAAGCCAAGATTCTTGTAAGTCCAGGACCCCAAAGACTGGAATTCTCCCCAGGGAGCCAGGAGAGAGTTTGCAATCTCAGGACTCTGGCTGTTCCACTAATGAAAAGAAACCAGATAAAATGCCAAAACTAATTAAAGTGACAAATCCGAAAAGGCCCTATCAAAACTAGGAAGTCTTAATCCTTGATTTCAACAGAATTCAGGCAGGAAGAATCAACAGAGCATGCTTTGGGTCAGGAACCCGATGCCCCCTGTGGAAGTGAGGGGTGGATCCCCTGGAGAGATCAAATCTGTTCACCAAATTCTAGTTTCTATCCATTTGCTACAATAAAAATCCTTTTCTATCCTAGCCCCTAAGCCTTATCTACATTTCTGCCGTTTGTTAGAGGCACAGTAAATGGTTCTAGTGAGTCAGCCCCCCAGGCTTTATTAAGACTCCCATACGGTTGTAAAGCACAGCACAGTTTATAGGACACTCTCACATGTGTCGTCTCATGTCATACAACAACCCTGAGGGGTGGGTGTTACTGATTCTCACTTCACTGGTGAGGTCCCAGAGAGGCTAGAAATAACTGACTTGGGTTCACAGCTAGCAAGTGGTAGAGCCAAAACTCGAGCCTGTCTTTTCACATCATTCATTCCCGCATTCCCTTATTCAGCATTTACTGAGGTCTGACTAAGATTCAGTCTGTACCAGACACATGGGACACAGTCCTGTGTCATTGTGTACACACTGGCCTTCAATCACACAGCGTGCAGAGCTCTAATCACATGACATCTGTCCTGAGGGAGTGTACGCCATCAGTGTGGAGAGAGGCCACCAGTAAAATTGATTTAAAGTGAGTTCTTTAACCTCTTTGCTGCATAGTTGCCCACGTCTACATGGGCTAGGACATTCTCTTCTGACATGATACTCTCTGGATTTCTCTCCCTTCCTGGCTCTTTCACCCTCTGCATCCTCCAACACGCCCATGTTCTCCAGGGTTCAGCTCTCAGCCCCTCTTTCTTGTGTCTCTGCACATTCTCTCCTAGTGGCCTCACCCACTCCTAGGGCTTCAAATACTAAATAATGCCAATATTAATGGCAGTCACACTAAGCATTCACTGAGCACTGTTCCAGGCTCCATGCTGCTTGCTTAATATGGATTATTAAGATATATTATGATTATTATTAAGATTATTAAGATATATTATGATATAATATGGATTATATCATTTAATCCCCACAATAACCCTATTGCCATCTGCAGTTTGCAGGTACCAAGTGATAGAGCCAGAATTTGAACCCATGCAATTTCACTCCAGAGCCACGTGCTAAGGATTTCCAGTTCTGTATGTCTGACTCATCGCTCTCTCTTTGCTTCTCCACGTGCATTTTGAAATTTCTTTTCTGAACAACTTGACCCTAGACCTGAATCCAATATGTACAGGACAGAAATCATATTTTCCCTTGCAAACCTGCTCCACCTCCTTAAAGAAGGACATAACCAATCCAAACTAGTTGCTTAAACTATAAATCTCAGCTCCCTCCTTGATCCCTCCCTCTCCCTCAGTCCACCTGCATTCAGTCCATGACTTATTCCTTGTTTCTATCTCTAGAATGTTTTGAACCTCCGACCCTCATCCCTGTATCCACTGTTACTGCCCTAGCTCAGGCTCCTAACATCCCTCTTCTGATCGTGGCAGTTGCCTTGTGGGGTAATAGGATTATGTCACCCTCTCTCTTCAAATCTTTCATAGACTTCTTGGGACCTTCAGGATGAAGGTGACACTCTCCAGCATGGCATACAAAGCCCTTTCAGACCTGGCCTCTGTCCACCTATATAGCTTTCCCGCCATAGACTTCTGGCTGTGCTATGGTCACAGAGTGAGAATTCCTGTCCCATCTCTTCACTCTCCACCCCACTTTCCATTCCTTTCCTCAGGTTGTTCCTATAGATCCTCTTATCTATCTGTGCCCACTCTAGATTCTGCATCTTGGCAGCTGTTTGTCCCTCTGCCCTGAGCACCTTTCCTCTTTTCCTCATCACCCAGCTAGTTCCTGTCAGTTGCAGTAATGCATACAAGGTAAGAGTGTACGCTTTGGAGCCAGGCTGCCTGGTTTAAATTTCGGATCTGCCATCCAATTGAATGAACGGCATAATAACTATGTGACCTCAGGCAAGTTACTAAACCTCTCTGTGCCTCCATTTTCTTGTGCATAAAATGAAGATGATAATAGTAGTAGTATCTCCTCTCTCTCTCACTCTTTCTTCTTTTACTAGCAAGTACATAAAGCAATGCACCTCTGTCCTTTGTTTACTGGGAGGTTTAAATGAGTTGATATGCATCAAGAACTCAGAACGGCCCCTTTGCTGACTCCCTTCGCTGACTCGGTGCCCCCTTCCTTGTCAGCCCATTGCACTTAGTGCTTTCCTTTGTCGCAGAGTTTAGCAAACCATACTGGTGGCTGTTACAAGACAGACCTTGAGCTGAGGTCTGTCTCTTTTTCATCTTTATACCCTCAGTGCCTCAGTATCTAACCCACGTTCAGTGAGCGTCTATCACTTTGAAGAGAGACGGATGTGTGAGCGTAAGATGGTGCAAGGCAGCGTGTGAGTGCCTGGGGAGTCCCGCAGGAGAGTCAAATGGGCCAAATCAGGGAAGGCTTCTCGGAAGAGTAGTTTTTTGAGATTTTTTTTTGTGTGTGTGTTTTATTTTGCCAGGAGAAAATTGAACTGGAAGGAATGGGGGAACACATTCACTCTAGACCGCAGTGACAGCCTGCGACACAGGAGTTTCAGTCAAAAATAAACACGTCACACGGAGGAGAAATGAGCAGAGCACAGGACAAGAAGCGAGGACCTACAGCCCATGTCCCCTGCTCTAATGCTCAGTCTGAGCCAGCTGGCCTTTTATCAAGAGCCAGGCTTGTTCCGGCCACTCAGAAGACAAGGCCGGGGAAGACCCAATCCCTGCTCTCAAGG